CACCTACAATCCCTGCCGGTACGAGACTCGAACCCGCAACCTTTGGGTTACGAGTCTGACTCTCTAACCATTAGGCCCCCGTTAAAACAAAAGATCTTGAGAAATATTTCAGGCATTTAACCAAAGACCCATTCAAAAGCCCATTGCCTTCATGACAATGGAACCAGAAGTGATAAAATGCTAATTAATTTCCGAGTTTTGGCCTACAAAAATGTCATCACTGCAGCACTCTATTCATAATACACCTTTCTGTGACATTTAAAACAGTGTTGTCGGTATGGTATTCATGAACTCTTTCTCTCCCAGTGAGCAGGTTTGTGAAGTACACTGGTTACGGTAATGCAGCGGGGCTGCTGGCAGCATGGGGTCTTTTGAACGGCCGCGGCCCCTATCCTCAACCGCAGTACTCCAGTGACTCTGACTCAGACACGGAGGAGTACAGACAGGCCAAGGACAGGATTAACCCTGTGACGGGACGGGTGGAGGAGGAACAGCCTGATCCAATGGAAGGAATGACTGAAGAAGAGAAAGAGGCAGAGGCGCTCAGACTCATAAATATGTTCAACAAACTCTCACGGTATGTGTGTCAGAGATATTCCACCAGAAATGTGGTAAAATCATCACTGATTTTCTGTTCAAAACGTATGTGTAGTGAATAGGTGATCCCCTTATAATATACAGCAGCCTTAATATTTTTTTGTTTCATCATTATTGTCCTTCCACCACACCCGCTCAGGAACAAAATCATTCAGCCAATGGGAGTGACTACGGACGGCAAAATGGCGCCGCTTTGTGGCCAGACGAGGCACAGCGCTGTGCAGGAGGAGGAGGAAGAAGAGGAGGAAGATGATAGTGAAACAGAGCAGTAATGATGACAAGATTATAATGATGATTAATGAAAGACAGGTGCAAGATATTTTATACTAATGACTGATATAGCGCTGAAACAATATTAATAATAGCGCAACTAAAAATCATGTAACATAAGGAAATAATCTATTGTTTCATTTAATCAGTTGGTGTATGTAAAAGGAAATTCTATTGAGACAGAAAACAGAATAAACGAAGCTCTGTATGATGTGTGAAGAAAAAAAATAAGGCAGGCAAGAAATAATTTATAATGTAGGCTACACAAAATAGCTGAGAACGTCGTTTCTTTGTAATAACTCTTGTGAGTCACGATTAGCTAGAAACCGTAAAATAGGAAGCTACTAAGAAGCAGAGGAGAAAGAAAGAGACAAAGAGAGACAGCCATCACACCAAAGACAAACACTCCTGGAAAATGCTGCTGGTGTTGCCATGGCTATGTTACCATGGTAACAACAGGAAACGCAGTTCTTTTTTCGTGCTCTAGCAGGAGTGGAACGTTTACCTTGAAGAGAACTGCCATGGATTAATCGAACGCTCTGCACCGAGAACGCGGAATAAAAATACATCCTCAGGAAACGTTTTCATTTACAAAATGGTTAGTAAACTTTGAACCCAAGTACAATATTTAGAGCAGGTTATTTGTTGACTGTACTGCTTTATTTCCATTGTATTTCCCTCCAAGATATCATTCCTACCCGTATAAAGCCCGTGCAAAATACCAGCAAGTATGTCTAGAACAATAAAACGAAAAAAGAAAAAAAAAAAAATCCAAGGCAGTCTTGTGTGAAAATGCATCATTTTCATAAACTCATTTTTCTTTTCTTTTATTTGCGTTTGTCAAATACAGGAGGATTTCATGTACAGATGAGGGACAGGTAGAGAGAGAGAGAGACTGAAGCAACTGTACAATATTTACAGGAGAGAAATAAGCAAACCTCCAAAATAATAATTATCATAGTAAACAACCAACAGATAAAAAAAAAAAAAAAGTAAACAGACATTTTGCACACTTTAAAACTATTACATCCCTCTGCACCGTCGTGTTTTCTTTGAGAAAACGAACAAATACACCTCTTTTTCCGCATTTTCTTTTAAAGAACAGAAAGATTTTTTTTTTATTTTAAATAAATTTTTCTTTTGCTCTATTTTTTGACAAAAAAGGAACTACACACTGCTTTGACCCCGCTCTTTTGTCCGCCTTGTCCTTCAGCTTAGGGGACAGGAAGAATAGGGGGTTACGGGTGGCCCATTTCATGTACACCCTCATAAAACATGAACATTATTATTCAAAATAATAACAGCAAACCGCCCCAGCTTTGGGAGGTAACCATGTATAAATGTCAATGTATAAATAATACAAATCATAATTGTTCATAATACATATTTATATATAAGAGTGTGCATGGAACATAGCATTCAAAGCTCACCTCTGCCAAAACACTGCTGACCAGTGAGGTTTTCAACCCTGTTCCCTTTGGCACTATCTTTATTCGTCTCTGTGCAGACAACGGTCTTTACACATTCTCGCTCTATTGTTTTTTTTTGTTTTCATACCGTCTCCCTGTGGCTCCCGTTGCAGGGAGCTGACACATAATGAAAGAGAGAGGAATGAAAGCTTTACAAAAACATTTTTATGTTAAAATGCAACAGCTTAAACCGCCAGTGGCTCTTACACATTCTGCAAAGGAAAATCTAATTTTCCTGCAACCTGGAGGTGCACCGGCTTTGTTTGAGAAAGAGGAGTTTCTCCCTTCTCCAAATAGGACGTGCTTGGAACGTCGACAGCTGAATCTTAAGCCTTGGTGCTGAGCGTCAGCAGTTCAATGAAGGAATTGAACAGAGTCTCTAGCCAGCCCTGGTTGGCCATGCACTGCTGAA